GTTTTGGCACAAGAAATAGCCAGCATGTGACGGTAAGGTCAGGGTATCTCTGGTTACAGCAGTGCCTAAGAAACTTTGTTCTAGTAAAATGACACCATGCACAAGCCACATTATATAAAAAGCTAAGGAGGCACAGGCATGGGATATGAAGCACTTCAGACACTAAACTTCAATGATGTGACCACTGCTACAGGTCCTGCCCAAAAAGAAGGATCTGAGCCATGCTGAACTTGGCACTGCCATGGCAAAACAATTAGGGATAGCTGGAGAGGCAATCCCACTTTTGCAGCTGCTGAGTTCATGCAGCCTGGGTCCCTACACAGACATGATCTCCCTGATGTATTGCAGGGTGCTCACACGCCTCATAGATCTCTAGTTTGGACAGATAATGTGAACAGAACTAGGCAGCACTGTCAACATCAGCCACAGGGTAGGGGGAGAGTGAATAGGATGTCCTTACCCAAAGGTTTGTGAGGCAACCACTCCTCCTGCTTTGCACAGCACAGTGCACCACAGCAAACAGCTGCTTTGGTTTTTGCAGGTGTCTGTACAAGATTTCACATCATCTGAGTGTCCTTCTCTCCTCTTTTCTGTTTGGTTTGAATCCCCAAACTACTGATTTTCACCTGGTTCCAAAGAATCAGTGAAAAAAATCAGTGTAGCTTGGGAAAATGTAGCGGAGACTCCCCAGAAGGTTCATAAACTTTTCACTGAGCTGGCCAGAGCTTCAGTTTTCTACCACAGTGCCTGAAAACAATTTGTCTGCTTTCCCATTTCATTAGGAGGCTATTGCACAGCTCTTACACTGATATTGCAGTAAGGACCTTTTGAAGCTACTGATTGGAGTGTCTTTTCTGTTTATTTTCTAATAAAAAAGAATCTTATGCACTAAGCTTTCTAAAAAGCAACTGTGCCAGCACTCAGCCACAGAGGAAAGTACTGCAAAAGCCCCTGATGCTTTTACTTAACAATAAATTCAGACAGCTTTGTTTACAAATGGGACTGACCTTTCATTTAACTAACTTTTTAAAGAAAATCTGGGAAAATTTATTAGTTCAGAGTCAAATACATTCTCTGAGCAACAAACAGGCCTCTGATCCCTTTTATTTACATCCAGACATTTCAAAAGCTGTTCAGTAGACATTTTCCAGTTTTCATTTAGTGAAAGCTTATCATGGTTTATACACTGATCCTGTTCCCATCAAAATTAACCACTTCCCCACCAATATTATTAGGAGGAAAAGTCAAAAGGAGTGCTCAAAACTATGTGCTCCTACCAAAAATCTCAGCTTTTTTCCTTCACAACTTATATTCTCTCTGGACCTGCAAATCAAGTTCCCAGAGTATCGCCAGTATCAACATGCAAGACTTTACTAAAACCCCTCCAAAAAATGCCAATTTGCTTTCCCCCCCCCCGCCCCCCTTTTAAATACAAACTTTACAAACAGTTTCTACATCCTTAAACATTGGTCAGGAGGGAAGCAGCCCCAGCCAGCAAGCTCACAGAGGCAGGGGCTTCATGTCTACATCCAGGTCCAGCTGAGCTGAGGCTTGAAGTCAGTTGCTCCCTCACCTCCCTCCCCAGCAGACAGGCTTTTATCTCCTGAAATCTCCCCTCCTCAGGTTTCTTCCCACCATCATGTACAAAACTCTCCTTTTGCTTTGATGAAAAATGAAAACCAGACTTTCCAATCCTCACTTTTTCATGAGGAAATCTTCCATTGCCATGTCCTGCCAATCCCAATTGCTGCCTTATTAACACACAAGTATTTCAAGGGTACAGGACTGGAAATTTAGGCAGGAATTGTGGAGCAAGAGCACAACATGTAACACAATGAGGATCTAGATGAGGAGAAAATTTGGCGATCAAGGTTTATACAAATGTGTTTCTATAGTACAGATGATGATTTCTGCAGAACAGAGAATATTTCCAAAAATTAAATTGTCCTGAAAAGAACAATAAATGGAAAAGGTACAAATAGGAGAAGGAGACAAAATGAAAAGATTTGTAAAAGAAAGGAACCTTTAAAATACAATGATAGGGCAGGCTATAGTGAATTTAAATACCAGCCTGCAATAAACTCCGTGTAACATGATCCCTGAACACAGCCCTTAGGGAGGCTTCAGCTACACTTTCCAGGCATATCTCTTCAACCTTGTCTCTGTCACATAAACGAACTGAAATGAACATATGTTTTTAAGTTTGTTTCTAAAATAACCAGACTGGAGCAGAAATACTGCACTGCCCACACTAATTCTCCCCCCACCTTCCTCAGGGGAGAGAGCAGAGAAAAACCATGCGTGTTAGTCACATCAGATGAAGTGCTACAGTGACGAAGATTTATACAAAACAGAGACAAAAAAAGCCTGTCAGGTCCCAGCTGCGGGTGAGCAATGAGCTGTGAGACCAGGAGGGTGACATTGTGCCAAGGCCCACTCACCTCCAGCCTTGATGGGCTCCCCAAAATACACACATCAGCCCTGCAAGTGTGCAGGAAATCATCAGACATGCTGCGGGGATGTGCCAGCCTTCTGCAACACACAGAGCTGAGGATGTGCACCAAGAGCACCCTGGAAATGGATTAGGCAGGGGGGGAAGGTATTCCTGCCCCAGCCTCTTCTGCCCCTTCACAGACAGAGGTAGACCACATCCAAGGCACTCTAGGTAACTCTTTCGCCTCTCAGAGGATGCAACAACAGGCCAAGATGTGCCCTGACAGGCTCATATCTAAATATCAAGGTTTCTGGTGTTTTAATCACAGTAACAACTGGAAAGGAATTACTCCTGGTATGACAAAAGGCTGGTGGATGAAGGGATAGGGAGCAGCCCAGAGGAGCACTTCCGAGTACTGGAGGCTGAAAGGTTGGACATGACCCAGCAGCATGAGCTTGCAGCCCAGAAAGCCAAGTGCATCCTGAGCTCCATCAAAACATTCATATTTCTCACATGACTGCAAGTACAATGCTGTCTAGGGAAGCAAGCTGTGACTGCATCTACATTCCTGCATCTCCTGTCTACCCTAGACACTGAGCCCTGCAGATCCTCTTCCTGTCATAGGCTGCTTGCTCCTTGAAGTGTAGGCTGAATGACCTCCATGGGAAAAAAAGGACATTTTATGCCTTACAATAAGGGGAACTATATACCTGAAATGGAAGCTTGGTTTGTAATGAAATTCAAGAATTCAGACATATGGATTTTCTAATAATCAGTATTACGCTCACAAAAGGTCTCCTTTCTCCATTTGGAGACTTGAGGGTTTTAAGAAAGGCTTATCTGAAAGACAAATCATCAAACTGGTAGGAGAACCTAAACCCTCCTGTCTAAAATGTCACTTAATGAGGCTTCAATTAAGATTTAAAATACCTCTGTAAATGAAGCAAATGGGAATAATGAATTTCTGCTTTGGAGCATTTTATTCATTGTCTGCCCACAACAGTATTGTGCATAAGTAGTTTAATTTCTGTCACAGTATTGGCTCAGCATCAGCAGAGAAAATATAGCAATTTACTTCTTAAATGGTTAAAAATTCCAGGATCTATCACTTCAAAGGCATTTTGACTACAATGGAAAAAATTTACTTTGTAAAATCTTAGAAAGCTCAAATTGGTAATGTCTCTTTAATTGGCTTTAAAACATTTAATAAAAGTTTTATGATACAATCCTACCCTACAGCCACCATTAATCCGATGTGGCTGTGAGAGATACCACACAGCCTAGGAAAGCTGGAAGAGAACATTTTGTTTTGTTTCCCACCTATTAATGTTTACTAAACCAATTACAGGAGATTTAACAAATCATCTCAAAAAAAGAAGCTGCTGCTGCAAAAAAAAGAAGCTCCCCTTTCTTGTTATGACAGGCAGTCCCATGATTTATTCTGGGTTCTAGCTCCAGCTCTGCCCAAACAGTTCTCCAGTCTTATGCAAACAAGGAATTGTTCATGTCTTTCTATTTCTTAATCCCCAACTGGATCACCACCATTTGATTTGCAGAGATGCTACACAACGCCTTGGAGAGGAGGTTAACGTCATGTTGCCTCATTGCACAAGATGACAAAAGGCATGGAAAAGTGGTAGGAGCAGAAGGATGAGACTTTCATAAAATGCAGATATTTGGGCACAGACTTGAGTAAACCTGACAATGACGTTTCAAAGGCAAGGTGGCATGGAAGGTGGTATGGAAGTGTTAGGCTGGTAGAGCTTGGCAGAATATGACAAGCACGTCTCACAATGCATCAGGAGATTCCTTAATCTGCCAATGTACATGCGAATGTCAAAAATTCCGTGGCAATTTGGGAAAAAAAAAAAAACAGAAAACAGAAAAAAAAAATTCCATCTGTAAAGCAGGCAAAAGAAATGGCCACTGCAAATTGAGTGCCTACCTAGAGGAAAAACCCACCCTGTGGTCTGCGTGCAGCACCTTGGTACAAAACATGGAATGAAGAGCTGAACATAGCTGTAAATCCCACCAGCCCTGATAGAACCTCTACTCATAAAACACGGATGCTCAAGTGGGGCTTCACATTTTTTGGTAGCATCACTCAGCTCCCACCAGCACTGCCCGCCTCCTGGGCTGCCAGCTCCAGGACAAGGACTAACGCACACAAAGATGAGCTTATCTGGCCTTTTAAAGCATTCTGGCACACTTTAAAAAGCATACAGGCAGGCTAAAATGCATCAATGTGATGTTTTAAAGCCTACTCTTCTAAATTTCCTGTTTCTTTTGACACAGAGCATTGTCCACCAGCAGGTAGCACCAGCAAAACCCACAATACCATTTGTTTTTAAAGTGTCCATGGAAAATACCTGCAAGCAAAGAAAACAGCAGGAGGTCAGACTTTACCTGTGGGGTTCTCTTTACAAGCTAATAGTTTCCTCCTCATGACCTCAGTTCCTGCCCAAGTGAGATTTACTTCCAAGGGAGAGCTTCCCCAGGCTTGAAGCTGGAAGTGCTGTGACCAAAGGGGACTGGCCACTTTGGGACCCTCATCTCCAAGCCTGTGCTGCTTTCATTCTTTTAAGTAGTAAAAGATATGGAAGAGAGACTGCAAGAGCCTGCTCCCTGTTATTTTATCTTGCAGCCATTTGACATGTGGTGTGCTGTATGAAAATGATGTGCATTTTTCACACTGTCCTGACTGCAAGAAGGTGCTGGTGCAGCCCTGCTGCAATTAGTCACTTGTGTCTGCTTGTTGCTGGAGGCAAGGAAAGAAACAACATGCCAGTGAGGCTCCTAAAGCAGGTAACATGGAAAACAGCTGTTTACCCAGTGCAAGGAAGTAAAATGATCATTCATCAGAGCTGAACTAAGAACGCCTGTACAGCCCTGAGATGGACCCAAGGGAGCTGTGAGAGGTTATGTGTCAAGTAAACATGGGAGTTGGCAAGAATAGTGGTCGTGCACTGAGGTGAACCCCTGACCAAGCTCTACATTAAAAAAAGAGGCAAGAGAAATCTCACATTTTTGGAACATACTAAGATCTGGTGATGAGTCTAACTCTGTCCCAAGAGCCTGTTTTGAAGTAAGGGACTCTCAGTGACTCCCTCCCCATGAATCAGGAGTTAAAAAAACCCCAAACCACAAACTCTCGAAACACCTTGGTTGCATCATACAGGTAGCATCCTCCCACAGTAGCTGTCCCTATTTTGGGTGAGGAAGAGAGGTTACACAGCGGGAGCCACCACCACCACCACTGCTCCCTCGGGAGGCAGGAGGGACTGTGAACAGACAATCAGCTCTTCCCAAGCTTCTGCCACAGCTTACTCAGCCCTGGGTGCAACACACGGGCTATCTCTCATCAGCATCAGGTGGATGGCATGCTGGAAATCATCAAGACGGGGCTTAGATTTGCGGGATGCCAAAGGGAAGGGGTTTATACTGGGCAGGATCAAATAGCAGGCCAGACTAACTGAGGTGAGATATGAGGACACTTACTCAGGGCCAAAGGTTAATGCCTCCCCACATGACAGGGGTCGCTATCTGAGGAATCCGGAGGCCACCATGAGGCTACTGACCTTTGGCTGGGGATCTGAGAGGCAGCGCTCACCAGCTCCCAGGTCACTCATGTGCCAGAGCAGACAGTCAGGAGAAAAAACTAAGACACTGTTCTAGAAGAAAGTGATATATCAGTAGAGTGTCAGGGGTAGGAAATAAGCTGGCTCAGTTTGCTGCAAGCCCTGCTAACACCAAACTTGAGCATGAAGACAGTGCCCAAAAGAGAGCAGGCTCATGAGACAATGCCTATATAAGTGACACTGGTACAGGACTAGAGCATTACCTTTCCAAAGAATTCGGAGGATTATTTTTTCAAACTGAGCATCTCTTTCCCTTTCCCAGCAGTTTCTGATCCTCCAAAGGAGCTCCTCATCCTCCACAGGAATTTTTCAGCCCATAAGTAACATTCCCTGGATTCTAATGGAGCAACTCAAGCTGCTGAAGTGGACACCAAAGGGAAAAGGGCAGATTTTAGAGGGTTGTACTGGTAATGCCAGACACTCTCCTGTTGTGCCAAGGGGAATATGGTGGATAAACAGCCTGGCTAATTTGGCTCTTGTGTTGTGAGGTTTTACTTCCCCATGTCTCAGTGTGGCTGCTGCTTCTGGTACAGCATCCACCACAGCTTCCCTCAGTGACTACAACCCAAACCAGAGCGGGGTTAAACTGCTGAGCAGGCCCTGGCTATTTGCACAGCCACTTCCCCCAGAGGAGCACCCCACAGCATGCAGCACAAGGCTGTGGCAGTGGCATTCCAGGGGATGCCACAGCCCGGGGCTCTGCACCTGTCCCAAGGTGGCATGGAGACAGGGAAGGACCAGGATGGTCACTGGTCCCTGGGGAAGTCCCTGTGCCTCGGTGCAGCGTGAGCACATCCCCACAGGCACAGCAGTGGTGGGAGCATAATCTGGAGCAGCTGCTGGCATTCCTCCTGTACCCCAGGAGTGATCAAAGGCTTGCAGTGGCTTCACTTTTCCAATGTTACTAGAAGCAATGGAACAGCATCAAGGATACACTGGAATTTCCCTTTTATCACAGCTGTAGCCACAGAGCATTTATAGGAAGCAGAAGGGATAAGTGACCCAGCCATCAAGTATTTTCCTAAATCTCTCCATAGGCACAAGTGGTAGGCACATTTTCTCCCTGTCTTCATGCTCTCCTTGGGGATCCAGAAGTGCTTTACCAGTGCTGGAAAAGTCAGGCCAGATGAGGTCTTTGGAGAACAGATACTTCTTTGCAGGACTTGCAGAGAAGAGTTTTCCTAAAAGTGTACATATATCATAATTCCATCATTGCCAAGCAGTAAGTCTAGAAAGTTTGAAGGCAATCTTTGGTCTTTCAAAGAAGAATTTACCAAGAACTAGTCCTTAGCAGAGATAAAAGTTATTGCAATAAAAAAAAGAGCACGTCACTTAAGTGTTCCATTGTTTGCCAAGTAGTTTACATGCACCAGTGGGAGCCAGGGAAAAAAAGGTGTTTGCATAAAAACTGCTAGGAATTCCCGTTACATCACACTTCCCAACAAATCCCAGGCTGTTATCCTGGCAGTGATCAGCCTCATTGTGCAACAAACATCACCAAAGGGAAAAGATCACAAATGCTTCCATATGAGGAATCCCTTGGTCACTAAATGAAGGAATCATGAAGGCAGTGTAAGGGACCATTCTTCTCATCAGGAGCCCTCAAGAAGTATATTGGGATATATGGATGATTATTATGATAATCTGTGAAAATAGAATAAAAGATGCTACAATTTATTTTTTTTTTTAACAGAGAAGTGTTCTCCAGTTCAGCTTATATCGTTTGTGGCAGAAGTAGCAAGAACTAAAAAAGCAATCACACTTCATGTATAGGCCCTCTACTAAGCACACACACACCTTATTTCTTGGAGTTTAAAAATGAAGCTAGAAGCTTTCCTTTATATGTGTTGCTTTATTATAGGTAATGGCAAAATAGAAAATAAATATTAGTCTTGACACATGCTACCAAAAATCTCTAAGCTAAATAGTTGAAAATACATAAGTAGATATTCCACATGCAGGACGGACACATGCTATTTTATGTGAGTTATTAAAGGACTAGGCTGAAAATATGCAGACTTTAAGACCGTGTTTTAAGAAATTTTAACTAAAAACACATGCAGAGTATACATTGTAGCAGATAATTACACAGAGTGGAGCACGACTCATAGAGAAAATAGAAACTGTAGCAACATGCACTTTTTATCTAACAAATACAAGTATTATAAAAGTACTTTCAATTTTCCTTTTTAAAAAAAGCTTATTTTTAGGCACTACAGGTCACCCACCTCTAGAATCTTACTGATCTAATCTGCAATGTGTAAACACACCTAGATCAAGAAGATTCAGGTGAACACTATTTTTGACACGTTCTCTTGTCCAAAACAAGTTAAAAAAAAAAAAAAAGGGAAGGGTGGGGAGCAACCCATGAATGTCCAAGAAAACGTGAAATCTAAATTATGACAAGGCCAGTCCTTCTAAATCAATGACTCTTTCTCCTTCCTTCCAAGAACTGGGGATTCTATATTTAAAGGCCTCACATGTTTTCTCCTGTTCCCAGGGTACTTAGCAATTTGAGATAAAATGAGTAAAAAGGTGACCTCTTTACTTTAAAAGATCCCTGGCCAGTTTTGCCCAGGTAAAGAGGCCGTTGAGTACTTTCTTTACCCGAGATTTCAGCAAGTTTTTAAGAGCAAGAATCCTCAAATGTCTGACCCAGTTTTCCTGCAAAAAAACTTAGATCTAATTTTGCTTTTTATTTTTTAAATCTACTTTATTTGTGTGGAGATTCAGGGGGTGGGGAACAGAACACATATAAGATGCTGCTTTTGAAATCTCTGCTCTTTACTTAGGTCTGAGATGACTAATGCAATTCTAAAACCCTGCACCATCAAGACATGAATCACAAACCTACCTTAGTTGCTTCTGAAGGTGTTTTTGTGTGATTTAAGAGCTTCACTAGAGAAGGCAAACTTGTGTTGATAGGATGGCAGCACTCATTACTTGCTAGTCAGGCCAGGCTGAAATGTCACTGGTTTTGTTTCCTAGAGAAAGAACTAAGATCACATCTGCATTTTATAAAAGCTCCTGAATTGTTACTGATCGACAACTACCAGCAGCCAACGCTTTGCCTCTAGAAACTTGCATTGTTTTGCAGTCAGAGTTGCTAGATACCGTGTCCTCATAAAAAGTCTGGTTAAGTCATTTAAGCTCTGAAATTGAGAACTGCACTTCCCTGAACAGCCAACAGAAATTATTGCTAACAAGAATTACATGTGACAGGCTCCAGGCTCCATTATTTGGCTTTCTTTGTTCTTTAAAGGATATTCATTATCAACTGAAAACCTGCTAGTATTTCTAGCTTCCATAAATAAGGTTCTCTTTGGTTAGTAACTTGGATGTAAAGGGGTGGGGGGGGTGGGGGGGAATCAATTCCCTATCTGTTTTCTGGGGTTTAATATAAAATCTGGAAAGGCAGTGGAGCAGTAAGGTAGGGAGCTAGAGCAGCTATGGGACTTTAAAACTCTCATGTGTAAGAGGTGTTCATATTATTTGCTGTCAGTTAAGGTGCAAGCGTGGAGGGAAGGACTTGTGAAATCCTCTTCCTCTCTCCAATTTCTGGGGCAAGCACATTGACTAGTTTTGTAAGGACCAGCCCAGCAATGAAGCTGGAAGTGAGGTGACTTTTGCCTGTTAACGTGATGAGTGCTGGGAGCTCGTGCCCGTTGTGGCTGGCTTGCCTTGTGGGTGATGGACCACTTTGCCTGCCTGTTCCTAGAAGCATAAGTCCTTCTCCTGCCCAAGCTCCCTGTTCTGTGAATTATAGCAAGTCCATCAATCCTTCTTTCACTGTTGTCATTGAAGGCTATCAGATGTCAGGCTCGTGTACTCCTGCCAGAGAGGCTCCTTGCACTTGCTCTTCTCCCCAGGACAGGCAGCGCAGACACAGCCGTGCTTTGCTTAGCTCGGGATCACGCGCAGCTCCGGGCACGCATTGCTCTCTTGCCAGAGCACATGAGTGAACTGGATGTGCTCCGACCCCAAAGCAAATGAGCCAAAACTGCACCTCAAAACTCCCCAAAAGATGCTGGATTGAGAGGAATTATGGAAAAGCAGGTTGTGGAGTGGACTTGGAGCACAGAAATTAAGAGATAGGAATCAGCTGCTGGGCAGCAGAGCCTCTTAATGAAATGCTAGAATGGGACTGGAAATAAGGAGGTCCTGAATGTCCTCTGCCACATCAGACTCTCCTCTACTCACCCCATTTCCATCTCTCCATGTGTTTGCTCCTCTGTTGGAAATACAATAGAATGATGGCTATAGCTTAGACATGCAGCTGGCATCGACTTGTCCTCCTACAGAGTGTGCTTGGCACAGAGAGACGTCGGAGCTGCTCCTGTAGCAAGAAAGCGGTAATCAGTACATAGGAACAGGGGGCACGGAGATGGTCCTTCCTCCTGCAGGCACCCACAGCTTGCAGCAACATGCAGACAGGGTCCAGCAGGATGAGCCTGCCCACAGTAACTACAGCCAGGCTGCAGTTTGCCTCAGCTTCCACCCCTTGAGATGGAAGCCAGCCTCCTTACAGGCAGCTCTTTGCACTGTGTTGCCCAGATAAAGCACAGTCTCTCACACTACCTCAGTCACACTCAGTCCACTTTCCAAGGAGCTATTTACATTCAACCACAGCACCCTGCCTTTGTCCTGCAGGACATCCCAAGTGTCTAGAAATTTTTGGGTTGGGATTAGTTGACTTGCACTTAGTCCTGAACTTCTTGTAACGTTCCTAAATGTGGAAGTGGCAGTTTTTCCATCTCAGGAAATTAGATACCTTGCAGGTATCTAATGAGTAACACTAAAAGGGTATCATAGTAGGCTATTCTCTGGGCAGGTTCTCAGCCTCAGGAGCAACCAGCCCTTTCCCCAAATGCAAACTAGTGCACACCTGTTGATTTCAAGAGCTGAAGAGATAACTTATCATGATGGATCCATTAACCCCTCTTGGAACTGATGAACTATTACCATGCATGGAAAGCCAAGTAGGGTATTAGAGGAGATAAAATAATCTGCCAGGCAAAGACCATTGTTATAGTTAAGGAATAACGTTCTCTGAAGGCTTAATTTCAGGTTGGTCCAGGAAGACCTAAAAGACCAGATTAAATGGGGAGAACATAGATGTCACAAAGCAGGTGGTTCAGGACAGGGTACATATGCAGAGTGGTGTAGCAGCATGGCCCCGAGTGTTCTATGAGGACTAGAAAAGACGGTAAGAGATGCGTGATGAATTTCATAAAGGATATTATCTCCTTCTGGGCTATCAGCATTAGGAAATAGGTACCTTTTTCCCACTGTGGAGCAGAACCAGACCTTGAGGAACTTGAGCCCATTCACTGTAATTTGGGGCTCATGCTGAGGCAGAGAAACTACTCACCCGTCTGGGACTTCCTTCCTTCCTTGCCTCTACAGTAGTGGGTTTCAACCCCCGGAAAGGAGAGGTGGAAACTGTTCTACACCTCTGTGGCAAAATTTCCAAGACCTGGCACCCCAAACCCCGGGAAGCCGGTGCCCCGGTGCCGGCAGCTCCCGGTAGGGCAGCCCGAGGGCTCCCTGGCCAGTGGGCAGCAACGCCCCGAGCCGCTCAAGGTGCCGGTGGCCCACGGCCCTTGAGGCTTGCACGGAGCAGCCTTTGGCGGGCCCGCGGGGGTCGCGGCGGGGCCGTCCCAGCGCGGGGCGGTGCGCGGGGAGCCGGTGGCCGCGGGGCCGGGGCGGGGCCGGGGCGGTGCGCGGCGGGGCGCGGTGCAGGGCAGCCGCGGGCACACGTGGCTCAGCCCCCCAAAAAGGCGCTCCCCGGCGGCGGGAGAGAGCAGTTCGTCCCTCGGTCCCCTCAGAGCCACCGCCGGTCCGCTCCGTCCAGCCGTCGGTGCCGGTGCCAGGGGCTGAGGTTGGGCTGCGAAGCGGCGGCTCCCACCCCCCTGCGGAGTCAGCCCCGGGTCCGGGGCGGCCCTACCTGCGGGCACGATGAACCTCACCGCCGAGAGCCACCGCATTCCGCTAAGCGACGGCAACAGCATCCCGCTCTTGGGGCTGGGCACCTACGCCGACCCCCAGAAAGTAAGTCCGGGGACGCCGCCGCAGTCCGGGGGCAGGTGCCGGCCGCCCTCGCTGCAGCCCCCCGATTCGCGGCTACCCTCCTCCTTTCCTCCCGTCCCGGCCACTTCTCTCTTTACTCCTTTCCCCGTGCGAAGTTAAAGACCTGGCTCTACCATGAGCGGTGCGGGCAGTCCTCCTCGTAGAGGAGGAAAAGGTGGGAAGAAATAATAAAAAAATAATCCCGCCCAGCTTGCGGTGTGCTGCAGCTGTCACTGTCGCCCACCGCCCCGCGCCGCTGGGCGCACGGGCAGGGGTGCGGGGGACTTGGAGTCGGGATGGTGCCGTGCAGTGCCCGGGGCGGGAAGGGATGGGACCCTCGGCAAGATGGCAGGGAACCCTCGGCCCCCCGGAGCCAGGAGGGACGGTGCCGTCGGTTCCCCTCCCTTGCTCCCTGCGCCGAGCGTAGATAAATAAGATGAGGGATTTCGGACCGTCTTGCGGCTGCCCCCGCTAATTTCCAAGTAATGTTCCTGAAACAAAGACCCAAATTCCTGCATCCTGACTCCTGCGGCTCCCACAGCTGACTGCCAGCGGCCAAACCACTCTCAAATATTCTGCATCCTTGGGTTTAGCGCCGGGCAGGCATCCCGTCTGACCGTGCCGGTCGGCTGCACCCGTGGAGGCTGGGGAAGCACACCTGATGCTTCTTCTCTCTGCGGACCTGGGAGCGCAAAGGCAATTCAGAAGCCACTGCCTTTTAAAGCTCTCCTAAACTGCCTGATCAGTTCTCTTTTTTATTTGTTTGAAGAGTTGGAAAAGAGGCACCGTGGCCAGAACCCTTCTTGTGTAATAGCTGCGATGCAATGTGTGTATGTGCATGTGTGTATGACTCCACATATCACATGGTATTTAAAAGTACCTTTTTAAAGAAAACTCTTGATTAAAGCCATTTACCAACCACAAATGCATCAATAACGGTGTCGAATTTTCAACAAACACAACTTCAGGCAATGCATGAGTGATGCAGATAGGATATAAGACATCCTCAGGACTGCAGATCTCACTGGTTAACTGCGCGGGTATTCATGACTTCAGAGCCTGGGCATCATCCCCCACATCACTAAACTTTCAGGAGATATTTTCAGCTAGTGCATTCTTTGAATAATGGTTAGTGAAACAAAATTAAGGTCTCTAACAGGAGTTTTGATATAGCAAAGCAGAATGTTGCATAATTCAGTGTCAAAATAGCTCTGAGTGAACTTGAAGCATCTTTTTCCAGACGTGTACATCATGCCCCCAACCCTCAAGTTGCACTTTTTTGCCCTAGTTAAGAAAAATGCAGCTGCCAGCACAAGAGCTCCTACCTTGCTACACTTCCAGCCTGCAGCCCAGACAAGCCGTGGCCCAACACTGTGGCATCAGGCAGGGAGCCCAGAGTGGCAAGTAACCTGCCGGAGCTGAGAGAGGAGCTGGATGGGATTCCTCTTACGGAGGCAGCTTCTCGGCACTGTTATTTCCCTGCTAAGAATTCATTCTGCAGGAATTCAGCTGTCCCAAAATTAATAGAGAAACAGATCTGCTTCTTCTCTTTTTGTCCTGCAGAATCCTGGTGCTTCCTTCCTTTGCCCTCCTGTGGTTCGAGGTGTACAGCGAGCCTCTGCATGGAGCTCAATGAGCCAAAACGAATCATTTTTAGGTAGGGCTGGTTTTCAGCCGGATCAGGCCCAGGTAGTGGCTTTTTGCTTTTTGCATACACGTCCTTTGTTTTCTGCTAACAGAAGATGGGGAGGACAGGATAATGCAGGCAGGGCAGGCATTGCTACGGCAACTCCAATTTAGAGCAATTGAAGGCGCTGTGTAACTGTACCCTCAGCGGGGACGGGTGCACATATCCAACCACCCTTTCTCCTTCCCCCTGCCTTTGTAGGAGTTTGATTTTCTGAGCTTTCTCTTTCTACACGATAAACATGTTAGAAAGTTATGGGTGGGAGGAGGAGCTGAGAAGACGTAGAGAAAATAGCAGTGATAAGGCACTTGCCACAGTCTCATTTTCGCAGAAGACCAGGTGAAACAATGTGTTTATCTGCGGAGCCGGGCTGGAGCTTTACGCTAGGATTAGAACTGCTATTTGAGTCTAGGAACTTGTCACAGAGAGCAGCTGGGGAAACGCAGCGGCAGCAGCCTGCTGTGGGATTTGTAGCAGAGTTGTGCTGCTGGTCGGTGATGGGGCAGGACTTTTAAATAGGTCACGGCTTAAAAATTGCCCGTTTCCAAAAGGCTGCTTTGCTGATAAGGGGGATGGGGGGCTTCTGTCAACTCCTTGCTGTGGCAGCGCAATGCTACTTGGCTGGGACATGCTGCTTTGCCGAGTGCTGACTTGCGCCTGGTGCAACTTCCAGCGGGATGCCTGGCGAGGTGTCTGTCCTGTTCCTCCTGCCTCAACAGCTGAAAGGTTTTGTGGCAACCCACGACCAGGCAACCCAGGAGTCTCAAGGTTTATCTTAAGCAGTGAGGCTATAAACTAGCGCTGACACGTTTCTCTTAGAATGCTTAGCTGTAGCCTTTTGTGGCTGAATTGCTTAAGAAGCAGCATCTGAGCCACCCATTCTCCAGTGGTGGGGGCAGGCAGCTGGTGGTAGCGACAGCTCAAGCCAGCCCCAGCACCCTATTTCTGCTCATGAGTCAGATCCCTGCAACTTCCAGTTATTTTGTGCTTTGATATAAAATACAGAGCCATTCATTTGTCAGATTATTCATTTTGCTCTTGACGACAGCTTTTTGATTTTATACTAGTTTGTTGATTCCCCCCCCCCCCCCCAAAGGTTATTCACCCTGGCACCTCCGTGTCAGAGCAGCTTGTCCAAAACAAATCTGTTTTCTCAGTGTCAGGCTGTAGCCCAGTAGCTCATAATGAGCCCGGAGTGTTCTTCCTGAAGTGCAGGAATGTGCTCGCTGGTTAAGCCAACCAGGCAGATTTAGTTAGCCATGGAACAGGGAAATCTGCTTCTCCAGCAGCAGTCGGTTAGAAGAAAACAAAGGCAGGAGGCCAGCTTTCACGTTTCAGGCTTTGTCTGCATAAACTGAACAGCAGTGCCTTCTGAAATGTGTCAGCAGCTTGCCTTGCTCATCTTAAATAACTTAATTGTTCTCCCAAAGACAACTTTGGGTGATAAGTCATGCTTCTCTGGTTGTGAAATACTCAACAAAAAATGCATCTATTGACAGAAAGGCTCCTGTACAAGTTTACTGACTGAAAGTAGTACATCACTCAACAGGAGCAGAGCTGGACCACTGTGGAAAGCTCTGCTTGATAATCAGACTCATTTTAATTGAATGCTCTTTCCCCCTAGATGTAAGAGCTTTTCTTCTGATTGGGTAGAGGTTGGGATGACAATTCAGCTAATTCTTTGAGGCTAAAAAGTGCAACGTTGGGGGTTTCTTTTTGCTTTACTCTCCTACCACAGCAAGAAAGTACAAAGAATCCATTGGCTATCAATTCATCTGCTAACAGGAAGAAAGGAGTCTTCTCTGGGTCACAGAATAGAATTAGTCATAAACTTGGGTTATTTATCAAGAGAAGCACAAAAAATATTTTTTTCAGGTTTAATTGGTGCTTCCTGTCCTTATTTTAAAATAAAGGAATGCAATAATTGCATAACTATTAAGCCTAATTTTCTTTTACAGGCAGATTTCAGTGTGTTGAAGTTGGTTTTGCATTCTCCTTCATGTAAGGAAGGAAATGTATCATTTGTATTAGATTCTTCCCTACATAAAAAATTAGGCTGTTTATCCTACCAAGGATGGACTCAAGTGAAAAAGTGGAAATCTCAGTCACTGACTCCTTCCTCTGTTCTCTCCTCCCTTCCCCAAATATTCCTTCTCCTCATGGGTTTGGGTGGGAACTGTGAATCAGGCCTACCAATGTACTCCAGACAGCTTTAAAATTTGAGGCCAATTCTACCTCTGTTTGGCTCTGTGGATCCTTCTGGCAAAGCCCTGCGAGTGCAGGAGCGGCTCTGCCAAGGCTCCAGCAGATGCATCGTGTCCAGCTCCCCCTCCCTGAGGGCCCCCAAGCCGTTGACCCAATTCTCCAGGGTATTAAATAGATGGGGGGGGGAGGAGGGAGAGGGCAGCCCCATAGGGGAGGGTGGTAGAGGAGGACAGGCCCCTGGATGAGCCCCTGGAATTGCTCTGTGCTACATCAGAACCAGACCAGTCCATGGCAGGCTCCCACCACCTGCCAGCACTGATTCTTAGTTCCCAGCACAAACTATCAAGTGGTACTGGTACCCATCTGGACACAGATGAAGTGTGGGGATGAGCAGTCTTAGAGGGGAAAGGTGCTAAAAACACTCCTAAATCCTGGAAATCCTATGCCTCGTTAAAACTGAACTTATGCCTGCTTCACTTTATAACTCATCCCTGTCAACACAGCTAAGATCATCAGTCCAGTGTCTCC